CATTCATTATGAGATGCTTCGCCATCTCCCTCCGTGCACGTCTCGGTATTTACCGAATCTGTATAATCGGATCTGGGAGTCGTCGTCAGTCCCTGAGGACTGACTCGATGCTGTTGTCCTCCCTGTTCGCAAGCTAGGGTCTCTGGGAACATCTAAGGACTTTCGCCCTATTGCGCTCACAAGTTGTGTCTGCAAACTCTTTGAGCGTATGGTTAACGTTCGTCTGATGTGGTTCCTGGAACACCACCTCCTCCTCTCCCCTTTTCAATTGGGTTTCCGCAAGTGCCACAGCGCAACAGATGTCCTGGTGAACTTGGAGGTCTATATTCGTTCTGCTTTTGCTGTGACGACCTCCGTTGTTGCTGTCCTTTTTGACCTGGAAAAGGCTTACGAAACCACTTTGCATTATCATATTCTATCCCAGCTTCATTCTTTTGGCCTTCGTGGTAATCTCCCTCTCATTCTCCGCAGCTTTCTCTTTCGTAGTTCCTTTCGGGTGAGGCTTGGTACCACTCTCTCTGCCTCTTTTCAGCAATACGAAGGTGTGCCCCAGGGTAGTGTTCTGAGCACTACTCTCTTTTTTTCTGGTTGCCCTCAATGGTCTTCTTTCCGCTCTTCCTTCAGGCGTCTTCTCCGCTCTCTATGTCGATGATCTTACCCTTTGCTGCCAGGGTGATGATTCGCTTCTCCTTCAACGCCGGCTTCATCTTGCGATTGATGCCGTGTCGTCTTGGGCCACCGATCATGGCTTAAAGTTCTCTTCTACTAAGATTTGTGCCATGACTTTTACTCGGAAACGGGTCGTTTTTCGTCCCTGTTTGTCACTTTATGGTCATCCCCCCTGAGTGCAAAGATTTCGCGAAGCTTTTGGGGGTTATGCTGTGACACTCGTTTGTCTTGGTCTTCCCATATCTCTTACCTCCGGGTTGAGTACTCAAAGGCCCTTGCCCTCCTTCGGGTATTGTCTCATACTTCTTGAGAAGCGGATAGGCGCACTCTCCTTGCTTTACATTCCTCTCTCGTCCTGTCTAAGCTCGATTATGGTTGCCCTGCTTACTCCTCTGCTTCTCCTTCGCCGTCTTGGTGCTTTGCACCATACTGGGTTGCGCCTCAGTTCTGGTGCCTTTCGTTTGACTCCCGTTCTCAGCTTGTATGTTGACACTGGCTTCCTATCTCTCCAGGACCGCCGTGATCGCTACTGTCTTCGCTATCTTGCGCGGTCCTTGCAACATCCTTCCTCTCGCCTCTGTTGTGCTTTAACTTTTACCCCTCCTGCGGTTCCTGTTCTTCTTCACCACCTCTCTTTCTGTCCGGTTATCTTGCTTACAGGATTCTCTTTCCGTTCGTATTTCGAATATTTCTCCTCGTGTTGTTCCTTCTTTGCCCCCGTGGAGAGTCCCCCTTCCGCAGTTTTGTACATCCTTGACACGCATCCCTAAATCATTTACCCCTCCTATGGTTCTAAAACGCCTTTTCCTTGAGCACTTTTCTTCTCACTCCCACTCCGTTTCCGTCTTCACTGATGGGTCTAAGTCTGCAGACTGTGTTGGCTACTGTTGTTTTTCCTGATCACACTTATGTGTCAATTACCTCCAGAGACTAGCATCTTTACAGCGGAGCTTTATGCTATTCTCTCAGCTCTTCGTCTCCTGCTCTCCCATTGTCAATCTTCCTTTGTAGTTGACTCTCGTAGTGCCCTCATGGCTCTCGGGTCCTTTAATCCGGTTCATCCAGTGGTTGTCAAGATCCATCATAGGCTGTTTCTTGTTCACAGTAAATTTAAGTCGGTTGAGTTTTGTTGGGTTCCCAGCCATATTGGTGTCTCTTTAAATGAGCGTGCCGACGCTGCCGCCAGGGGAAGCTGTCCGCTCTTGTCCCATCTCTCGTAAAGGTATGCCTTATTTCGACTTTTACCCGGTTATCCATTTCTCCATCCTTACCCGTTGGCAGGCTTATTGGTCGTCTGTTACTGATAACAAACTACGTTCTCATAAAGATTGTGTGTCCTCGTGGCCGTCCTCCTCTTACAGTAACCGGCGATAGGAAACGGCTCTGGCGAGGTTGCGTATTGGCCATACTTGCTTAACTCATGGTCACTTGATGGAGCGCCGCCCTGCTCCTTGTTGTCCTAATTGCATTGTCCTTCTTACAGCCGTGCATATCCTTGTTGAATGTCCTGACTTCCGGGACGAGCGTGTCTTGTTTTCCGACCGTTCCCAGGGTCGCTTGTCTCTCGATAGTATTCTTGGTGACTCGGATACTTTTGATATCGTTCGCCTTATGCGTTTCTGTTCTCGTATTGGCATCCTTGGTGATATTTACCGTCCTCTGATTATCCCGCACATTTGATGGTGCTACATAGCCTTCCCGGTTTGGTGCCTTCTTTTGATAATTACTTATTTTTATTGGTAATGTTAACATTGTCTATATGTAGTTGAATCTGATTTGATGATTTACTACCAAATAAAATGTAGACGTTTTTCCTGTTTAGTGTTAGTTTATAAATTGATATCCATGAGACTCGTGGATAATACCACTCATCATGAGTTTTTTTTTTTTTAATTCACTGTTGACAATATTTAGTGTGGGGGTTGGTCATAATATATGAAGGTAGTATCGTCTGCAAATAGAATAGGTTTAAGAATGTTAGAAACATTTGGCAAATCATTGATCTATATAAGAAATAGAAGAGGTCACAAGATGCTGCCCTGTGGCACACCTACTTTCAATGGTAAAGTGGGGGAGGCTATGCTATTGATGACTACATATTGATGTCTGTCACTGAGAGAGGAACGAATATAGTCCAGAGCAAGGCCTTGGATACCATAGTGGTGAAGTTTAAGTAAGAGGTAGTTATGGTTTACAGTATCAAAGACCATTCTCATGTCAATGAGGAAATCAATTGGGAACTCATTTTTGTCAAGGGCTGTGTAGATTATATCAAGTAGACTAATTATGGAATCATTGGTACTATTTTTGGGAACGGAAGCTAAACTAGCAGGGACTAAGTATGTAGAGTTTTACAAAGTAGGAATAGAGCTGTTTGTAAATTGTTTTAACTATTTTTGAAAGTATATGTAGATTTGATGTGGGTCTGTAATTGTTTGTTGTCTCGCCTTCTTTATGAACTGGCGTCACTCTTGCTTTTTTTAAGGATATCAGGAAAAGTATGAGACTATAGATTTTTTGAAACGCAAAGCTATGGGTAGTGCAAGAGCAGGGACAGCATTCTTATATATCATAGATGATATTTCATTAATGTTCAAAGCTTTGCTTTTAAGTAATTGAATTACGTATATACTGTCAGTCGGGCTGACTGGTAAAAGGAGTAGTTTGGAGAGGTGCCTGTGAGATATGTAGTAACATGTATCTGGGTCTCTGGGATTTTTCTGGCAAGGTTTGCACCAACTGATGAAAAGAAGGTATTGAATTAAATTGCAATATCTAAGACTGATTCAAGTGTGTAACCATCTTTGGAGAGTTTTATCTGCTTATGTAATTGTTGTTTAGACCCTAGGATGTTAGAGATGGATTTCCATATACTTTTCATATTTCCTTTTGCTTCTTTAAATATATTCTCATAAATGGAAGCTTTAGTTCTTCGTATAATATTGGTAAGCATTTATGAATATCTCTTGACTTCTTTTGTAACTAGGTCAATCCTATGATTTTTCATATTCGTGTTTCTTGTTAATTGCTTTAAGTATGCCGCTTGTGAGCCAGGGGTTGTTGAATCTTTTGGCAGTTAATTGCTTAGGGAGGAAAGGACAGTGTGTGTTGTAGAGGCTTAGAGTTCTGGAGATAAATATGTCGGCTTATGAGAGGACTGGGTGACATATGACATGAGAGGACGGGGTGACATATGACATGAGAGGACGGGGTGACATATGACATGAGAGGAAAGGGTGACATGACATGAGAGGACGGGGTGACATGACATGAGAGGACGGGAAAATATGACATGAGAGAGGAAGGGGTGACGTATGACATGAAAGAACGGGTTGACACATGACATGAGAGGACGGGTTGACACATGACATGAGAGGACGGGTTGACACATGACATGAGAGCACGGGTTGACGCATGACATGAGAGGACGGGGTGACATGACATGAGAGGACGGGGTGACATGACATGAAAGAACGGGTTGACATATGACATGAGAGGACGGGTTGACGCATGACATGAGAGGACGGGTTGACGCATGACATGAGAGGACGGGTTGACGCATGACTTGAGAGGACGGGTTGACACATGACTTGAGAGGACGGGTTGACACGTGACACGAGAGGACGGGTTGACACGTGACACGAGAGGACGGGTTGACACGTGACACGAGAGGACGGGTTGACACGTGACACGAGAGGACGGGGTGACACGTGACACGAGAGGACGGGGTGACACGTGACACGAGAGGACGGGGTGACACGAGAGGACGGGGTGACATGTGACACTAGTATAATCAGACATAAGTGATACATGGGGTGGTACACATACAGTGACCAAGAGACGGTGTACTGTAGCAGGAAACAGCGCTTTAGTGTGGCTTGCAGGAAACAAGCCACTCCATTCCACCATGGAGTGGCTTGTATTATTTATGATACAGTAATTATAGTATATTGTGAAGCCCTTATTCTTACCCAAAGTCCAGCTCATTCTCCGGAACATTAAGAACAGGAAAGACAATAACTCAAATGTTAACCCTGAAAATATTCACGACCTATATAGAAAAAACTGCATGAAGATCAAATGTTTTCTTTGGTAAGATATCATTACTCGGTAATTATATATATAATACAGCTACTGTAAAGTACTTTAATTATATTATTCTTTGTCTTATTTGTAATTTGATAGTTAATGACAGGATTAGTGTTGTGTTCTGTGACCCGGAGAAATGTTTCTTGCTGTAAGTGTGTGTGTGACTAACTGATGATGTATGCTGAGAGGCAGTGTTGTTATCTTATCAGATAATTATAAAAGATATCAGAGTACTGTAGAGTGAGGGAGCTCTCTCTTTCAGGGTGTGGCAGACGTCGCTTCGCTACCATCGCTGTTTGAGGCCGTGTTGCGTCTGTGTAACAAATAACATATTCAGCCGTTCTCCGTGAACAGTAGAACATCAAGAGCACGAGCAAGGTCTGCTGATGTAAACATTTGCGTTTGGAACTGTATTAAGGTAATGAATTATTAAGACCTTCGTGGTGGGTGAGCCAATATACCCAGCACCAACTGCAACAAGCACACTGATCCACCAGGCAAGTGCCAGGTGGTCGCGTGATAGTGGCAATAAAGTGTTGTGTGAGCAACGATGGTGAATGTGGCGTGCGGGAGTGTGGTGGTGATGGTAGTGGTAGCGGCCACTACCATACTGACCGCAGGCTTCAACCTGGACGTGGAGGACCCGACTGTGTTGCAACCTTCACACCAACACATCAGCTTCGGCTTCTCCCTGGCCCATCTCTACGACGGCTCCGAGAGACGGTGGGTGGAAGTCTTTGTCGCGAATATGACTGTAGGGAGGAGCTGTGAGGCCCAGTAGCTGGAGGCGACTATATAGTGTAAGCTTCCAAGGTGAATGCAAGGAATTAGCACAGTGATCTATATTCTCCACTTACAATCCCGGGCTCAAATCCCAGGCGGGGCAGAAATGGTTGGGCATGTTTCTTTTCAACTGATGCCTTTATTCACAAAGCAGTAAAGCAGCACCCAGGAGTTAGGCAACTGTTACGGTTTGCATTCTGGAGGAAGGTCAGTAGTTAGACCTAGGGGTAAACATCGAAACTAACCTGGCTTCCTGTCCCCTACAACGAGAATAATGTTTTCTGTGGCGCAAGTGTGCGGTTGTTGCGCCTGGTGCCCGAGGACCATGGTTAGAGCCCCACGCTGGACTTGTGTACATTTGTGTTATTTATATATACAAGAATTCTTACATAGCGTTTTGGTCACGTCTTTAATAACTTGGAGCACACGTTAAATTACCACCACAACAACCCGTCCTCCTAAAGTTCCCCAACGTCAAGATACTTGTACTAAACTGCCCTTATCCTAACATACCAGATGACCCAAAACAGAAAACGGGACGATATGTCAATTTTCGCCAGCCGCTTCCATTTTCTAGTACAATTTTTGGTCTTAGGTAGAGTATACGTCAAAATGCGACGTGCTATTAGGAGGACGTCACACCACTAGTTGTGATACCAATATTACTGTTAAGGCTTCCATCAGGACTTGAGTTAAAGTAATAGTAACATTAACCACTAGAGTATCACACAATAACTGGAGTGTGATATTATAGTGGTTAATTTCTCTTTTACATTCCAGAAATAACAAAGTTTAGAGGATCTCAATATGGAGGGATTATTGCGGTGTTTCCTGATAAAGTTGCTTACTGATACCACGTGTGGTCGTGGTGGTACTACCACTGTTGCGTGTTGTGGTCGTGGTGGTACTACCATTGTTGTGAGTGTTGTGGTCGTGGTGGTACTACCATTGTTGCGAGTGTTGTGGTCGTGGTGGTACTACCATTGTTGTGAGTGTTGTGGTCGTGGTGGTACTACCATTGTTGTGAGTGTTGTGGTCGTGGTGGTACTACCATGTACTCAACTAGTTGTACTCGCCTAATTGTGCTTGCGGGGGTTGATCTCTGGCTCTTTGGTCCCGCCTCTCATCCGTCAATCAACTGTTATACAGATTCCTGAATCTACTGGGCTCTATCATATCTGCATTTGAAACTGTGTATGGAGTCTGCCTCTACCACATCATTTCTTAGTTCATTCCATTTGGTAACAACTCTGACACTGGAAAGGTTCTTTCTAACGTCCCTGTGGCTCATTTGGGTACTCAGTTTCCGCCTGTGTCCGCCTTGTTCGCATACCACCCGTGTTAAAAATTTTATCCTTATCTATCCTGTTAATTCCTGATAATTTTGTAGGTATTATGTCTTCCCTTACTCCTCTATCTTCCAGTTTCGTGAGGTGAATCTCGCACAGCCTTTCCTTGTAGCTCATGTCTCTTTCTTCTGGGACTAGCCTAGTGTCATACCTCTGAATATTTTCCCGCTTCGTCTTGTGCTTGATAAGGTACGAGCTCCATGCTGGGGCCGCATACTCTAGGATTGGTCTTACATATGAGGTACACAAGGTTCTGAATGATTCCTTACACAGGTTCCTGAAGGCTGTTCTGATGTTAGCCAGCCTCGTGTATGCTGCAGATGTAATTCTTTTTGTGGGCTTCAAGAGACAGGTTTGGTATGATATCAACTCCTAGATCTTTATCTCTGTCCGTTTCATTACGTATCTCATCTCCCATTCGGTATCATGTGTCTGGCCTCCTCTTTCCATCGCCTAGTTTCATTACCTTTGATTTACTCGGGTTGAACTTTAGTAGTTGGATCATTCAGTCTGTCTATCTAGGTCATCTTGCAGCCTCCTACTATCTTCCTCTGTTTTAATCCTCCTCATAATTTTTGCACCATCAGCAAACAAAGATAAGAACGATTCTCTACCCTTTGATCATTTACAAATATCGGAAACGGTATAGGTCCAAGGAATGACCCCTGCAGTACTCCGCTGGTGATGCCTCGCCAATCTGAGACCTCAACCCTCACAGTGACTCGCTGTACTACCGCTGCTACTCGCTGTATGTGTGTTGCGAGTGTTGTAGTTGTGGTGGTGCTACCATGTGTGTTGTGAGTGTTGTGGTCGAGGTGGTACTACCAACCTTCCCTTCCTACCATTGTTAGGGTTGAACACTATATATGAGTGCTCTGGAGCATCTACCAGAGATGGTCTCAATGTGTTACCTGCTGGAGTTTAATTATTTACTTATCTATATATTTTATAGGAACTATTGGTGTTGCAGTTTTCCAATCTTTCTGAAGCATAAGTTATTCGTTACCATGTCCTAAAACCACTTGATCAAGGCACATGACTTCATTATATAAAATTACTGTTTCTAATTTCAAAGTGCTTGCATTACATTCTTTCTCAGTGAGAGAGTCACTGAGAAAAGATATTAAACTAGAGTATATAAGATTACATAAGACTTTTTGTTTTATTGGCGCTTCGTGATAACAGCTATCAGTCGAGTTCTCTCAGATACAACTTTTATCTGAAATTGTAGGCACCAGTTCTTCCGGTACTTACAGGAATGAGGCTTTTAGAAGATATCATTCACAATACCTTCAAACTATCCAGGCGTAATACCTTCTGGCTCTCACAGGCACTACTACTACTGGCTATCACAGCCACTATAACTTCAGCTATCACTGCCACTATAACTTTTGGCTATCACACCCCCTCCCTGTCCGGCCCGTTGTTGCTGTGAAGGGGTTTGGTGGGCGGCTGTCGGAGTGTGATGCTCCATGGGACAGTCCTCCGTGCCTTTGTGGCCTTATGCTCCTGCTGCTGTCCTCACGAATTTTTTTGGACGACTTTTCCTTTTCCTTATATTTCGTTTTTCTCCCCCTCTTCTCCTTTCTAATTGTCATTTCCCGCCGACCTTTTGCCTTTTTTTATTATTCTTTTGGCCTTTTGTTTTGTCGCCCGGGTGTTTGAGGAGGCATGCTCATGCGCCCGTAGGACTGTAATACCCAACATCTCGAGCGAGGGGACCCTTTTATTGTCAATTCTCGTTTCGTCACTGAACCCGATCTCGATGGACTGACGATCCTTAAGGTGGCGTTTGTCGGGCGTATGCTCACGATGCACCCCTAGGGGGCCGCGGCAAGATCGGCAACATGTCTCTTGTTGGGTGTCCTGCCTTTAATTGTGGCTCTGGGTGGGTGTGGGGGCTCATTCGTGAATGAAAGTTTGACCTCTCGTTGTATGTCTAATTCTGTTCCTCTTATACCTTCTCAGGGTCATGGGGTGGGCGACCAAGCCCCCGAGTCGGACTGTGTTGGAACATCGGACTTTGTAGCCCCCTCTGCACTGGGCCCCGACCTTGCTCCTCCTTTGACCCTCCTGACTACTCCCCTCCCTCTGTGGCTGGGTCGAGCCACAAGCCCCCAGTGGTGACCACCTCGTCCCCTTGGCACAGTTCGGTCACTTAATATGAATGCTAAATACTTTTAATTAATACTTTTAATCCCTCTCTCCCTCTTGGGGGTTCTCAATGCTGTCCATGCCACGGCTGCACTCACTATCTCTTCCCGTACTGATGCGTACCAGGCCTTCTTTGGTCCTGCTTCGTGGGCCACATACATTGATTTCCTCCCTCTGGATTCCACATTTCCTGACGATTTCTCACTCCATAGACACCTTGTTGATTCAGTAGATTACTCTGTTACTTTCAACCCCACCCATCTTGGTACACGTGTCGTTGCTGCTCCTTCTCAGGATGCAGCCACCCGCTAGGCCGCCTTATCCTGACTTGACGAGACTCCTGTTCGGGTCTCCAAGAACTCTCGGTTGAATGCCAGTGTTGGCACTATTCTCCTCCCACCCTATATTGCAACCGATGTTAGGAATCTACAGGACTGCCACAAAGATATTCAGCATATCCTCGAAGCCCAGGGCCATTCTGTCCTCCAGGTAGATACGTTTATTCGTTCCCCCTCGTGGTCGTCGCCGTCAGCCCCTTCGGGTTGTGAAGATTACCTTAGATGGTAGGATCCTTCCGTCCTCTGTCATTCTTGCAGGTGGCAGGTGCTCCGTCCAGGAGAACATTCCCTCTCCTCGGCTCTGTAATAAGTGCTGGAGGTTTGGGCATGGTGTCCTCTGGTTCTCCAGTACTGGATCTCTGTCCTATGTGTGGGGACGAGGGTCACTCTAAGTTAGAGTGCACGTCTCCCCAGGCTTGCTGCCTCAATTGCAGTGGGGCCCACCCTGCCTTCTCTCGCATGTATGTTTATTACAAACTTGAGGCAGCCGTCCTCACCTTGAAGCACCGGGAACGTTTGTCTTTTCCTGAGGCGTGGCGCCAAGTTCGCCGGCTCCCTCCTTTCACTGGTGTCTCTTATGCTCGCGTGTTACACTCGTCTTCTCCTTGTCCTTCCCACCTTCCTCAGTCTCCCAACCATTTTCAGGCCTTAGACCCAGACACGCCCACTGCCTCCTCCTCTGTTCTTTTAAGTTCTGTCCCGAAGGGTCCCCCTCATGGTTCTGTGTAGGGTTCTCCTTCTTTCTACCCAGTCTGTCTTGTCTCCTGTGTCTTCTTCCTCGTCTCCCTCAGATCCTCCTCCCCATCCTTCTCCTCTGTTTCTTAATTCTCCACGCAGCCTGTCAGTGTGGGTTGATGTCCATCACCCTCCCAGCGGCCATCGTGTTGTTTGCTCTCGTTCTGCTTCTCCTGTTCAGACGCTTGAATCTGTTGCCCAGTACATTGTCGCTGGGACGCCTGTCTCTGAGTCAGAAGCGAAAGCCTGGCTTCTCTCCTTCCTCCTCCCCAGTGGGTAAGAAGGCTTTGTCTTTCTTCCTCGTCTCCTACGTCTGACACTCTCGCTCCATCCCCTCCCGTTTCGGTGGGTGCGCCCCCTGTTC